GAGAAAGAGAGAGAGACACAGATAGCTTAGTCCTGACTTGTGCTGGATGTCGGATTGGCACCGCCATTGTGCCGCTGTGAAACAATCTGGGGCCGCAAAAAAGACCTGGAACGCGGCCCGCACAATTTCAGAGGAGCGGAGACGGTGGTGTGTGTGTATGCAGGTGCCAGACAGCGAATGAACAGCGTCAGTTTGAGAGGAATTAAGAGCTAACGGCTGAACCATTTGGGAACCATTATGGCCGACTCCCAGAACAAGTCTTCCAAAGCATTATACCGAGGTCTCGGTTATTTCTCCATCAGTCTGAGGGGTGTGGGACAGACTGTAGGTTGTGTTCTGCACTGTAATTTCTTCATAGGACTTCATACTATCAGACTTTTTCTTGCAACCCGTGTAGCTGCCCCCTGCTGGGCATTACAGAGAATGCTAACGTTAAGGCGGAAACTTCTAAATGTTCACGGCAATTCTCATGTCTAGTCAATTTGAGTACATAGATAGCTCCTTTATGTGCATATAAAGCATACTATGAATGCTGTTCTGATAGAGCCCCCCCCCCGTCTCCAACGAACCCACTCAACCAAGTTCAACCTCTGTTCTCGCTCTCGGGGGACCGGGAAAAAAAAAAATCCCTTATGGGAAAAGTGCAATTACAAGTAGATGAGGCAGGTTGAGGGGGGAAAATGGGCCCAGAGCAAACTGTATTACAACACCTTATCACGAAACACCTCCAGGGGCTCACTGATGATGGATTCTGTGTATTACAGTGTGAGAGTGCAGGGGTTGACTTTTTCTTTAAGGGTCAGTGCGCCGGAATATTTTCTAATACAATTACATGTACTGTTTGTGGAACGATATTACCCACTGCAGCCGCCGTTATTGTTATGCTGGGTAGCTTCAATAACTTCACAATCATCCCGATACCTTTTTGTGTAATGTTTAAACGAGGGATGGTCGGCCGCCTCTGCTGTGCTTCTGATTGTTCTTTTTAGAATCATCACAAGCTTTTATTTTGAAAAATATACAGTACGTAGGATGACAGCTGACAGAAATCTAAATAATCATATTACAATTTATATATATATTGTTTTGTACTTTTTGTACTCAGATTTTATGCATATGGTCGTTAGATCTTTTTAAATGGCAACATATCGCAAGTGAAATTCTTGTGAAATACAACATGCTGTTACAAAGGCGGCTAATTGATCAGTCAGAAGTTAAACTAATTGCATCCAATGAAGTGTTATTATACATTCTGCTACGTAATTCCCTAAAGTCATTGAAAAGAGCTTAGGCTGGCTCATTCAGTCCTGAGGCAACTAGAGCTTAATTATAGATGATATTATATAAATCTGTTACATGTATATTTATTACAATTCTAATAGCCTAAATTGACAACGAGGGCCTTTAAATTGGAGCACGGAACATGGTAGCTGTATTTGTGCCAATTACTTCCCATGAAGGAGTATTTCATGAAATGGGCTTTCCACGGAATGATAAATCTTGGCCCTCAATTGATTCTTATTAGCAGGGCATAATAAAGGATTCAGAGCGAGGGCTCAATGAAGGAATATCAGCGAAGCCATTTTGAATTAAATGGATTAAGAGCGCATTGACCCTCAACTCACACACACACACACACACACACACGCACAGTCCTATGCAGAAATTTCTAACAGCGCTGGGAGTCTAAAAAGAAAACTCCACTCGGATATGAAAAATTAATCAGCACCTTTGCAGAATGTGTTTTTGTATCATGTAAAATGTTTTTTTGGAAGTGTCGCTGTAAAGGTGCCGAGTGAAAACATCTCGCTTTTCACACTTAGGCTGGAACAGTCCCAACCATTTTTTTAAGCTGTTGATTGTTATACAAAAGTTGTTTCATACAGAGGGATGAGAAAAAAGCACATGCGACGGAGGGGGATTTAAATGAGCAATTGACGGCTTTAGACAGATGCCGTGTGTGTGTGTGTGTGTGTGTGTGTGTGTGTGTACACGTTTCCAGCTCAA